TTCTTCACACAAATAGTAAAATCAATATTTATATTAAAAAATTTTAGTTGCAGAGGTTGCTCATCTTCAGAAGATGTAGCAAGAAAATAGTATTTTCTCATCTCACTAATTAATAAAAACAAAAAAAAAGCACACACACAGAAGCAAATTTTCCTTNTATAGTATGATGATCATTTCTGAGTTTTATCATATCATCTTTTACAAGAAAAATTCCTTGGCAATGCGGGCCACCTCAACGTGGTGCCAAGGTCCAGTACTTCGTATTCTCGGAGGAAGCCAAAAGCCAGCGTTGTTCTTTCGGAAGACTTGTTAGCGCTTAGGCTAAGGCGTTACACAACACCGGGACCAGCCGCGTCGTGCTGGGGCAGAAAATATATCCAAGAAGGTCCTGGGGTACGTAATCAGTGTGCCATCAGCAGCGGTTTCTTTTACATATTTCATTTTAGTGTGAATGCTGCTAAAAAAGGAGTGGTACGGACCCTAGAGATAGTAACAGCCATCTCCAGTGGCGGAAATTAGATTTGGCCGCTGAGGTGACTCAGAGAGACGAAAAAATAAAAATCCATGTTCTGCCACCTACAAGATCCATTGTAATTTCATTACCAATGCGTAATTCCTATGCCCAACGGTAGTAAAAAAAATAAAATAAAAACAAATTGTATTTATGTATATTTATGTATTATTCTTGATGGTCCGTTACATTGGAGTAACATTCATAAAGCCACGAAGAACAGAAAGAAAAACGTGGTGGTCTAATGTAGGGTGGGGGGCCCATTGGGTGAGGGTGGAAGGGGATATGTTTGATCGTACCCTCCTTATGTACATCAAGGCGGTGTGGGTGATTTTTTAAATTTGATGATGTTGTGGGAGAAGAAGAGGCGAACCGGCATTGCGAAGGAAAATATAAAATAATAGTAATAAGGATAAATAAAGAGGTAATATGTGTGGGTGAGAGTAATTGTGTGTTGATTCTGTTTGTAAAGGTTGACATGGTTCAGTAGAAAAATAAATTATAAAACAAATGATAATTGACGGCGTTGCGTGAAATCTCAATATGCAAAATTTAATATAAAAAAAAACAAAGCATCTCACCTGGATTTTATACACATACACAGGCTACGTGGTTGGGTTTCTTTACATGTAATTCAAAACAATTCTTTTTTTCTTATACATCACATCTCTCCTCACTTAACTTGATAATTGTAAGGAAAGGTTATTTTCGAAATCTCTTTCAGTAATCACCACTGCTACCCATGAGGGGTGGTGAATGGGGGAAAGAGGGATGTGCCACCAGTGTAGAATACAAAAATTAATTTAAAAAAATCACGAGAGTCTGATTAGCGGACATATATTTCTTTCCTTTTTACTTTCTCTACGAATAACAACAACATCAATGAGAGACGTTACCCGAGTGAAGTATAAAATTAAAGTTGTTTTTTTCAGAAGTATAGAGTACCGAAAATAGTACCCAAGGTATCAAGAAAAAGAAAAGAGCTGCTCCTATTATTGGTGGTAGTGGTGCAAGCTGATCAGAACATTTTATTTTTCTTTTTGTTCTCTTTGGGAAACCGTTTATGCATATTATGCGTATATACAGTTGAGATATATCTCTTACATGTGTTTTTTCGGAAGGTGTGCTACATCAAAGTGTGCACTACTCGGGTCCGCACAGGGGTCCCGCAACTCTTTAAAATTCTTTTGCCGTCTCTCTTCCTCCAGTCGCAGTTGTTCTCCCAGTCTCTGTTGCTGTCGCGATGTGCTTTTCATGTTACTTACCATGATGTCCAACATGCGGTGAATATCAGCTGCCCCTTCTCTTTTTATCATCTCGCGTTTTTTGTACAATCTCTCTGTCCACTTTTTCCACAAGAGAGTAACATAGGAAGCCATAGCAGATCCCTTGCAGAGTTGACTATTCAAAATACGTTTTGTGCGTAAATTCGTTGCCACTCTCTGAAACAAAAGACGTGTAGCTCTTCTATTTCTCCTTTCTTCCTCCGATCGCAAATGTCGAATAACTGAAGCCATCCATGGTGCCATTGGTTGTCCACTTTGCAAAGACTTTGCGGTTTTTGCGTATGGTAGGATATTATAGTTAAAAAATCTATCAAAAGAATTTCCTCGTAGGCGTGAAGCTGCCCAACGGATCTTATTCCGCACTTCATTCCTAGCCTCTTCAAGTGCTCCTTTAAAATCATAGTGGTAGACTATTGGAGCCATATTTTCAACACCCTCTGCTTTTTCACGGTGTCTGATGGCTTTCAGATACTCCAAAATATTTCCTTTAAATCTCTTGGGGCTAATAGGAGGACTTTGACTGTATTGTGGATACACTCCCAACGACTGGTGATCAAAGGGGTTTACAAAAGCAGTATTACCATAAGGGTTTGTGCTCTTGAGCACGTTCATATGCATTTGTCTCCATCTTCCATCTAATCCCACTTCACCCACAAATCCAAATCTTTTTCCTCCTCCTCTTCCACCACTTGGAGACATACTTTCATTATCATCCCCAAGATCTTCGTTCCCAGACCTTTTCCAAGTACCAAAGTTACCACCCTCATCTGAGTATACGTAATTATCTGTTAATGCATCTCCTTCCAAAAATTGTGAAGTATGTGTATAATCGCTTAATGCTGTTCCAGACATTGGATTATTATTCTTGTTGTTTGTATATTCCTTTCCTTCTCCTGGTGTGTACTTGGACAGTGTTGCTGACGTCTTTTCATTCATCGCACCACCCCCAGTAATATGACGAGTGTTGGTTGATGGGATTGACTCGGCAGTTTTCTTTCCTCCTACTCCTCTTCCTCTTTCTCCTAATGAGTTCACTTGTCGGAAAAGGGATGCAACTCCACGTTGGCCATCTAGTGATTTCTCTGATTGTCCACGGTATAACAAAGGACGCCCAGGATCGCGTCGAGCTTCATCGTGCTTATCCATCTCCATTTCCCTATTTATTTCCTCTTTTCCCTCTTCTCCCATTTTTTTGTTTTTCTTCTTTTTTTCTTTCGATTCTACATCCTCGTTCTCATGTTTGTCGTGAGTTTTAAGAATGGCTGCAGCTATTTGCTCTCCAGATGAGTTAACAATAATATCATAGAGTTGATTCTGTGCCCATTCCTCATCTGTTAAGCTAGATGAGGGACCTGAGAATTGCTGAAGAACAATACCTTGTTCCCTAAGTCGATCAAAAACAGTTTGTTGCACCATATCATTCACTACATCTCCTGCAATCTGTGAGGCTATTTTACTTTACTTTCTTCAGTAATAGAGTATTGTATTTTATCACTTTGCTCATACAAAACATTAAAACCTTCTTGTAACATACGAAATAGTTCATTTATTTCACTCTGTATAGTATGATGATCATTTCTGAGTTTTATCATATCATCTTTTACAAGAAAAATTCCTTGGCAATGCGGGCCACCTCAACGTGGTGCCAAGGTCCAGTACTTCGTATTCTCGGAGGAAGCCAAAAGCCAGCGTTGTTCTTTCGGAAGACTTGTTAGCGCTTAGGCTAAGGCGTTACACAACACCGGGACCAGCCGCGTCGTGCTGGGGCAGAAAATATATCCAAGAAGGTCCTGGGGTACGTAATCAGTGTGCCATCAGCAGCGGTTTCTTTTACATATTTCATTTTAGTGTGAATGCTGCTAAAAAAGGAGTGGTACGGACCCTAGAGATAGTAACAGCCATCTCCAGTGGCGGAAATTAGATTTGGCCGCTGAGGTGACTCAGAGAGACGAAAAAATAAAAATCCATGTTCTGCCACCTACAAGATCCATTGTAATTTCATTACCAATGCGTAATTCCTATGCCCAACGGTAGTAAAAAAAATAAAATAAAAACAAATTGTATTTATGTATATTTATGTATTATTCTTGATGGTCCGTTACATTGGAGTAACATTCATAAAGCCACGAAGAACAGAAAGAAAAACGTGGTGGTCTAATGTAGGGTGGGGGGCCCATTGGGTGAGGGTGGAAGGGGATATGTTTGATCGTACCCTCCTTATGTACATCAAGGCGGTGTGGGTGATTTTTTAAATTTGATGATGTTGTGGAAGGGGGCGAACCGGCATTCTGAAGGAAAAATAAAATAATAATAATAATAAGGATAAATAAAGAGGTAATATGTGTGAGAAAGTAATTGTGTGTTGCCTTTGTTTGTAAAGAGTGGCATGGTATTACAGTGATGTATACAGTCATTTTTGTTTATGGTTGTGAGTGGGTGTGTTTTGGATTCCAATTGTGGTGTTGGTATAAATATTATGGTGATGCATTGGTTTCTTTATTTTTTCTGTTTGGAGGTGTGTTGATTATTGTACAGTCCCTTTGTTTTGCTGATGATTTGTGGCGTACTGTTTGGATACCGTTTGGATGATGTTGGGCGTACACTGTGGTTTTGGTGTATTTGGGTGTTCAAACTGCCTGGTAATGGTTTTATTATAATGAGAATACAGACACTTTGTGTGTTGGAATACCGAGTAAGATGTTGGAGTGTGTGTAGAGACGTTTATTTAATATTGTTTTGATACCATTTGTTTTTCACTTCTTCTAAATTCAGGGTGTTGTTTCAATACCTGTGTAACTCTGGGTGTGTTTTATTGTTGTTCCCCTCATTGGGTTGTTGTTTGATCCCTGTTGTGATGTGTACTCTCTTTCTGTGTTGCTGTGTACCCACTGCCTTGTGTGTTAAATGTGCGTCTCTTTTCTCCTTTTCCTCTTCTTCCTTGTTACCACAGATCCAAGCAACTCACAGTGATAATCATGACAACGATGTTCGTCCAACTGCGCCGTGTGGTGTACTTGTTGGTGCTGTACCAATGCTGTTTTTGTGGAGTTAACGCCGAGGAGGAAACCTGGCTGACGAGAGCGGAACATCGGGTGAAATCGTCGTTGGAAAGAGCGGACTCGTTGCGTGTGCGTGGGGAGAGTTGTTTGAGTGGATGGAAGGAACAAGTAAAGGCAAACAACGACAGTTACAAGGCCGCACAGAAGACCATTGAGGGAACCAAAGCGCTCATCAAAGTGATAGAAAAGGTAACGGGAAAAGTAAAGGTGTTCGAGGGTTCTGGTAACAAAGATGTTTTAAGCGAAGTTGATAAACTGGTGGAGAGGGCGCGGAAGGAACTGGGGGATTCCAACAAGGTGCTGCAAAAGGCGAGGGCATCGGTTAACAATACAAAGCTGGTCAAGACGTTTTGTGTGGTCGAGCGTGAGAACCTGGAGGACGTCAAAAAGGAACTCGAGAATAACATATATTTCTATGATGAGGCTCTTCAGGATCAGTTCGGGGACAACAGAACAACGGACAACGAGGAAAAGCAGGCGAACCTCAAGCACGCACTCGAGAAGGTCACGGGTCTTATAAATGACATCAAAAAGTATGCGGGGGAGAATCAACTCTCCCTGTTCGATGCTGGAGTTCATATCAAGGCCGCTGAAGACGAAATTGGAAAGGCAACAGGAGGACTTAGGAGTCTTGAAGCTGAAGTCAAGGGTAAGAAGCAAACGTTTGCTGTGGACGAGGGGATGTTTAACAAAACCGTGGAAGGAATTGGGAATGCCTCAAAAGATAGTAAGGTCAAAACTAAAGGGATCGAACGGACGTTAACCGTTGGGGACTTCAACAAAACGCTGAGGGCAGAAATGGAAAAGGGATTTCAGCGTTTGGCACAAGAAAAGGTGGAACTTGTGAAAATGCGGGCTAAAGAAAGGGCGAGGGAGGAACAGGAGAGAAGGGCAAGGGAGGAGCGAGAGAGAATTGCCAGGGAGGAACAGGAGAGACTGGCCGCGGAAAAAGCGAGACAGGCCAAAGAAGAAAAGCAAAGGGTGGCCGCAGAAGAGGAAAGAAGGGCAAAGGAAGCAGCAGAAAAGGCCAAAAAAAAGAGGGACGGTAGCAACAGTCCTACATTGGTGCAGTGTTCCTTGTTGTTGATTCTGTTGTGCTTGCTGGGTTGCACTCTCGTGTGCTGATCGGTGTTCCCATGACACAGTTTCACAGTTAACCCTTGTTTGACTGGATAAGGATGCATTGTAAGAGCACTGTTTTTATTTATTTTGATTTCGATACATTTTTTTTCCTTTTGTGTGTGTTTCATTATAATTTCATTGCACATTATGTGCAGCTGTGTGTTTTTCTTTTTTGTTTCCTATACAACTTGTGTGATCCTTTTGTGCCCATGATTGTGTCTGCCTCACGCAGTCACACCTTTTATACATTTTTTTTTGGTATAAAGATTGGTGGGTTGTAGGTGTTTGAGTCTGCCCCTCTGTTGTGTGTTCCTTTGTGTGTTTGGGTCTGTTACCCACACCGCCCACGTAATGAAAACACATTTCTTTGTTCTCACCTTCTCCCTCTGTGGTGCTTGTTTGAGTGACTGCAACCTGCGGAGAAATGGACTGAGACTGTTCCGCTTCGGCTTCACGTAATGGGTCTGTTTTTCTTTTTGGGGTTGAGTTGATTTGCTGGTGTGGGTGAATGTTTTTCTCTGATGGGAGTGGCAGCTGTGATTATTGTATTGTGAGTGTCATTTGTGTGCTGTTGGTATCCTGTTGTTGTTTTTCTTTTCTTTTGTGTTTTTCTTTTCCTCTCTGTAGGCGTGTGACTTAGTGTACATTTTAGGGAATGCGGCAGTGCCTCTCTGATATGAGCATGTGAGACTGTCATTGTGTGTGTGTGAGCACTGTGAGTGGGAAGGACACTTTGTGTTGCTGGATCACTCCACTGCGGCCTCTGTGGGGTTTGTGTGTGAACGGCATGCTTCGCTTCGGTGGGGCTCGAGGGGCATTTTGCGTCCCGAGGCGCTGAACCTTGAGGCCTGAAATGTCATGCTCAGGGAATTTGAACTTGAGAGAAAAAGAAGAGTGAGGATGAGGGAAAAAAAGGATGAAACCCGGCAACCAGTCTACGTGCGCAATGCTCGAGGCTCGTTGTCGGGTTTTGCCCTTTTCTTTTTTTTTATCCCTCACCCGAGGAAGGGAGAGGAGAGGAGAGGAGAGAACACAACCCAAGGCGGGCGGCCAACTTGTCACAGCGTCTTGTGCGCAACAAGAAAAAGAGGGGTGGGGTGTGGCTCCCGGGGGTGTTTCACTTATAAAACGAGTGGGGTTGGGCATAGTGGAAAACTCTTGCTTTCCCTACTTCAACGCTGGGGAAGATGGGTTTGAAAGGTATTCCGCCAAGATGACCCTTCCCCGTTCCCCTCGTGACATGGTGTGGCCATTCAACCGCACCTTTTACTCGGTGGCACGCGGCGCCATGAACAAAAAGAACAAAGAGAAAAGGGATTCACCAAACCCCCATGATAAAGGCAAATTCCGCTATGATGATGTGTTAAGGCGTTCCGCTACTGCCATGTGTGGTGTGAAAAGGAAATCCATGGGAAATGCAGAAAAGAAAAATAAGCACAACAAGAACACTTTCCCCCATAAGAACATTTCGTCCCATAAGAACACATTCCCCCATAAGAACATTTTGCCCCATAGGTATTTTGGTTTGTTGGCACCCCACCGCCTGCCCCACCACAACAATGTGTGAGGTATGTTTGGCTTTTCCCTGGGAGATGGAAGTGCGTAAGCTGTGCGCCGCGGATGGACAGCCCTCATTGCCAAAGGCGAGCCGTGGTTCACTTCAGAGGCTCGCGGCACCTGCCCCAGGATGTTGGCAAAAAAAAAAGTTGAGGAGGGTACGGCACCCCGGGTTCCAGCGCCATCACTGATCGCCGTACTAACGAGGCCTGTGGCCGCTTAACTTCACAAATCGGACGGGATATGGTGCATTCGGCCAAGTATGGTCGTACCCGAAATACCCGCAAAAGAACATATTATGCTCCCGGGGGTGTCTCCGGGGTGCCCTTCCCAGCCCCACCCCCAGGGGTGAATTTTCAGTTTTGCGAGTGCCGTGCGTTTCCCGCCTCCCTGCTCTACTGGGCCTCGTTGCGGTGGTATTGGGGCACATTTTCGCACACAAGCTAACCCTTGCAGGTGTTGGGTTGTTCCGGTGTTTTGGGTTGTGCCGGCCTGGTGGCGTCGCCGCCGCCGTCTGTCACAACTTTGGCCGGGTGGGGCGGCGGGGTGGGGTGGCAGTTTTCTGGTCGAAGCAGGCGGCCTCTACAATAGTTGCGCCTCTCCGCCTTGGTGGGTTTCTCTGCCTTAGTCAATCCTTTCTATTCGATTAAAACTGGGGCTCTTTGACTACAAGAACAAAACCCAAAGGGAGGAAAAGGTAAAACAAAAATCAAACCCAAATTATAGTAGACCAAATCTGTATACGTTTTCCTTTCAGAATATGCTTTCCTACTTTGGTCAATGGTAAACAAATAAATAGAAACAAATAGACAAACAAATAATCTATGGAGTTTCAAATGATTCCATCACACATACTTATCATGAAACAATTAAAGAAAATAATAATAAAACGAAATCAAATTCTCTATNGATACATGCAAAATGCCACATGCCCTGTCCCAGAGAGAAAACGCCCGTGAGCCGATGAACCGATACCACCAGAAGAGTCACCATTTCCCTGTGACAAATGTGATATGATAGCGCGCTCTAAAACAGGTCTCAAAGCCCATATTAGAGCAAAACACCCTGAGAACCCCACAAAAAAGACGCACCTCGCCCTCAGCTCATCCCACAGCCTGCTTCACTACGATGCGAATTTTGCCTCCGCGACTTTGGCAACATTGGTGGTCTCGC